GGTGAGTGATAGTCTACTTTGATTTTGGTTAAGGTAGATTATCATTTACAGTGTAATCAGTGAGGGGATTCTGCAGACTGTTGAGGGTTCAGCCTCCTGATGAGTCGGTGAAACTCCGACGAAACAGTTTGCCACAGCCCCTCGTTTGTTGTCCTCTTCTCTCTCTCTGCCTACGGTTTACCGGGCAGTTCTGTTTGTGACGATATATAATATTTATATTTTTTTAATTTGTTTTTTATTTTAAATTTGGTAAAGAATTTCGATGTGACCCTGAGGCAAAAGTTGTTCAGTTTATTTTTCTGCACAACATAGTTTTTTTTGGATTTTTTGTTTGTGTCTTTTCTTTTTTTCTTTTTTTTTTTTTTTCTTTTTTTTTTTTTGCTGGGATCTTCCCTGGTTCTTGCACGGGCTGGCCGCCCGGGACCCGGGCGGTGCGGCTGGTAGCCTAGAAAAAAAGTAAAAAGAAAAAGGATCAAAGGGGCCGAAAATCCCAAGGCAAAGGTGTGTTTTCATGCAAAATTAGCTCTTTTCAGTTTTCAGGATTTTTTATGACTTTCAGGGCTGGCCAACACAGTCATCTCCAAGACCCCAACAAACACCAAATTTGGCACTGGCAGATCTTGTGGGTATGTCTTCCTAGGACTCTCCCCCTTTAAAGGTTACATGACATGATGAAGCTGGACTCAACATGGATAGAGATCTGCTGTTTTTTTTTTTTTTTTTTTTTTCCGGTTAATCTGGACCAATCTGGACCAGGTCTGGACGGGTCCGGAATAGCGGATGTCCAGATCATGACCGGACCGACTGGTGGCCCAGGTCAGGATTGGTCAGGCGTCTGGGCCCGCAGTAGCCATGATTTTAACAGTTTCTGGGTGTTGTTTGGAATTAGCATTGTGTCTGACTTCCTTTGACAGTTTAACTTGGTTTGGAATCGTGGGATTGTCTTGCTCAAATGAAAGGTCTTTGAGGTGAAGCCTACTTTAAAGGCCCAGTTGCAAGCCAAGGCAGGGCTGCCAGTCCGTCCCGATGTGCCGCTGTTTGGCTTCATGGGCCGATTGGATGAGCAGAAAGGGTCCGACATCTTGACCGTTGCAATCCCGGCCTTTCTGCAGCAACAAGAAAAAAGTAATGCGGGTGATGCACAATTCGTCTTGCTGGTGAGTAACTAACTGCCACTGTTTCTTGAGCTGCACCTTCTCTCCCTCTCTTCC